TTTATTGGGTGAGAGGCTCCTTATTTTTCTGACAGATGGTCCCATTCACTCTGAAGTCACCAGGGTGCAGCTGGAGGAGAGTTGGTCATCACCCTGACATGTAAAAGTGACCTTATTGACACGTGGGATTTGGACATTTGCTTCTCACACTGAGGCAAAGTACCATGTGAGCAGGGGGATAAATGTACCACTTCAAGCTGTACTGGAAAGGTCTAGATTTCAGTTTCAGCTTCTCTGTTCATTTCAATTCACTTATTCAGCAGCAGTTTCCTACCTGTTGTGATATGAAAACAAGTGGAAGAATACTTCTTTTTTTTACCTACTTCCTGTTTCCTCCTCCACCTCTTGCTCATCTGAACCCTAAAACAATATTTAGCAGCATTTTAAATTCCACAAACATTCTGCAGCCTCTTTTCAATGACACAGTAACCGCTGACCACTTAATTACAGGGCGATGACTATGCTGTGGTGTGGCTGGGTAATTACAGGGCTTTTGTGGTTTATCATAACAGGGTTATTCCTCTCCCCTTGATGGCAGGACAGGTTATCCTTTGGGATTTCTTGAAGTTAATTGCATGCTAATCCACATCAACTTGCTAACACTCTACTGTTATGTATCTGGACTCTTGAGACCTACAGATTTCTCTATTTATTTTTATTATGCAGTACTGGACAGGCTAAATGTCTGTGAAGTTTATGGAAGTTTGCTGACTTTCTGTACTTGCAGATCCCATGGATTGCACAGCCCTTAACACAAACACAGTATCCTCTGTCCCCAACATCATGGGACTGTCTTGCATTGATCCCTGTACCCCCTGGGGGAAGCCTGGAGCAGGGTCCTGCAAGTATTATTCTTGTCAGTACAATTTATTATCCAACAGTCTGTCTTGATGGTCCTCAGATGTTAATTCTCCACTTTGCTTCATGCCTTGGAACATGCTCTGTGACCCAGAGAGCTCTCTGGGGACTCAAGTGTGTTTGAGGGGAATAATGCATGCAGTAACTAAACATCTTAACAACTTCTTGGGCAACTTAAGTGCATGTGAGCACAGGGCCAGTTTTCACAACTGTTTGCTAAGGCTTTTATCCTTCTTACTCATCCTATAAATCTACAGTTCAGTGCAAGCCATCTTGTCTTGAGGTGTTACTCCTATAATAGATATTTTAGATCAAATGTTTTTGTCTGTTCATCTTTTGAAACAGGTTGTATAGAAAAACATAGATAAGGATCAAGTAAGTGTAGGGCTTTGCCTTCTGTCTGAAGATGAGACTAAAAATCCACCGCAAGGTTCGTGACAGTGGGTCCACAGAGAACCCACCCTACTGGTAACTCCTAAATCCAACTGGATTTTCTCTTTCACTCCACTTCAGCTGACTGTCAACCTTTGGGGGACTTGAGTGTAAGGTCCATGCATCACTTGACTCTTCAGCAAGCCCTGCTTTGAGCAGCTGGGTGGTACCAATCTGGGTGATGGTGCTGACCTGGATCCTACACAGATGTGCTGCAGCTGAGATGAAGAGTGTGAAAATGAAAAGATTTTGTCACCTCTATCATCTTTTCCCCTTTTACCCTTCCTCAGATCTCCCATACACACTGCCTTTCTCTCTTGGACAGCCTTCTGTCGTACACACAGTAGTTAGGTGTTTGAACAGTTCCAAACTACTGATCCAGTCTCCTGGAGGATCAGCACAGAAGAGCCTATCTTAGCTTTTAGGTACAAAAAATAATGTAAATACTGCCAAATAATGCATTAAAGAGGTCAATAGATACTGATTCCTTAACACTGATGGCTACATTAGGAAGAATGGGTTCTGTCTTAAGTCCAACTTTTTCAGAAAGGTTTGGCAGGCACATTTGGAATGAAATTTTCCAGAAAACATGTCCTCATTACAGATATTTTGGGGAGTCTCACAGCAATTCAGGGTGCTCAGCCCTCGCTCCTTGCCATGACCAGGGAGCGTGTGTAGAGTTCAGGCAGAGGTTGACGATGTGAGAAAAATAATACACCAATTTCCTCAGCCTAATGCTGCCTCACTGTAGTTTATTTGTGTGGCAGCCTCTGAATATATTGCTTCCAATGGAGCTTGTCATATGGAAGTTGGAGAGTACTCTGCCAGCACTCCTGGCATGTGTCAGTTTGCCTCTACAGATAGGATTCACCCATTTAATTTTAGTTATCCCAAAGGTTTCTTCTGCCATGAGACTGGGATACAGTGCACCTCCACATTGCAACCACCTCTGTCAGCATGCAGTGAATCACTGTCAGGAGGAACTGGAGGACTTACCTGGACCTTATGTTTCCTTCTGCATGGTTAATGGTCGTAGGGGGGACTGTTGCCCAAAGGTTTCTAGGCATCCCCAGCAGCCAGGTAGACTGCCAGTCTAACTGGGAGGGTGAGTAAAATGCAGCTTGACTAAACTGTTGCAGGACACAGTGCAGGTACCACACAGCATGCTGAGCATCTTCACCACCTAGAAGCAAATATGACCCAAGGCTTTTAAAGATGTGTTACTTCTCCTGATCAATGTCTTAAAAAGCAAAGAAGACTTCTTTCAAACATGATAGTTAGAAATGTCTCCAGACCAAAATAAAACTGTTGTCTCTAGGAGAAATTCTGATTACAAGAGCATATTTGCTACCAAGCGGTACATTGTTCATATAAAATAGGCACACTACGCAGTAAGCCATCTTTGTGAAGACGTTACCCCTCTGCTGAAGGGGTTTATACTTTCAGGCAATGTTTTTACAGAGCTGGGGTCATCTCATTAGCTTCTTGGTTGTAATTTGTTGACTATTTTTTAGTAGTCTCTTCTTTAGAGAAGAGACAAAGCCTCCAGATGCCAGCCTGCTCTTGAAGTGTCTCTTCCTTCACTGTCCCAGCACAGAAGGCTGGGAGGAACTCCTAAGAAGGGAAAAGGGGGAGTGGCTCCCTGTTCAATGTGTTCAGTTATGGGTAATACAGAAGCAATGTCTTTAGCCTGAAGTGATGATACCTGTGGATGTCAGATGCAGCAGCATAGACTGGGGTAAGGCTTCCTCTATCTGCAAAGCTACTGTTTTCTCTCCTACTCAGGGAACCTGTAGCTAAGATTCAACAAGCCAGCTGGCTGTATCTCCTCCGTGGGGTTGGGAAGCCAAAAGAAACTGGAGCTCTGATGTGAGAGGGACAGTGGGAAGGCTGACGTTCCTCAGGTTCTTCTCGCCACCTCTGTTTGCATTGACACTTCTGAGTTCGCAGAGAAAAACATGAAAATATTTTAAATTGCATCCATTTGTAGCTGTAAATCCTGGAACAGGGAGGAAATGTGGCAGTATGAGCAGTGTGCAGCTTAAGGTGGATCAATAGCATAGCCATACTGATGAAATTTAATGTATCTTTACATGCATTTGTCATAGTGCCACGTGAAACTGTGTATGTGTAATGGCAGCATGCCTTGGGAATAGGTCAAGGCTAGATGTGACAATCAAGAGGTTTATGCTGGATGTATCCTGTCCAGTTCTCTGCTGCCCACCACATTGTGTCTATGTCACTGCAATTTGTACAAAGTGACTGTGAAATGCATGGCAGAGTTTGCCATTCCTTTTGCACAACTGTGAGATGTGAAGCAGAGAGCAGCCAGGTTTTGTGGCCTTGAAATCACACAAAATTTTAACAAAACCCAATCCCAGCCAACTCCCAAGCCCAAAATCCCCCAAAGCATCAGCATTGATCTGAAGAGAAGAACCTGCTTTTGAAAACGTCTTTACATGTTCTATGATGATTAGTGCTAATTTCCACCCCCCACCTAAATTTTGAACAGAATTACAAAAGAAAGCCAATATTTCATGCAGCAAAAAAAAAAAAGCAATTCCTATGGAAAATATAGTAAAAAAATCTGGACATCTCCAAGCTGCAAATAATCTTGTGTTTATGGTGATTGGGAACAGCAGAGCCCACTTTTGTGTACAATGGTAAGTACAGAGAACTTCAATGTTTATGTAAGAAAAACTGTTTTTAGTTGAGGCCTGTACCAGGACAATTACTAAAATTTAGGATACCTGTTTTGGATGAGTGTACGTTGATTCATTCTGTAAACTACTTTGCTCAGCACTGCCTCTGCAAGACGAGCTGTAATCTTGTGATGAATATGAAAGCAGATGCTCCCATTTGTGCTTTTTTCAGAATGCTTGTTGTCTCCAAAACAATGCAGAACCACAGCAGAGGTGAAATGTGGAAGATCACTGACTTGAGGGAAACTTCCAGTGCAGTTTGCACTTCTAGGTCTGTAAGGGATTCATTGCCTGGCACAGGCAACTAATCACTTGCAGCGTCAGTGGTTCAGCTGCAGATCTGCACCACCAGGAACAGTGCTCACACAGCTGACAGGCCATCAGGTGATTTACAGGCACTGCTGCCAGATGATGCTGTGCATCTGAGACCAGACTTGGGGCGATGGGCAGCAGAAATGTGCTGGCAGGTCTAAGGGCCCCGTGCAAGTACTTGCACATCAGTCTGCCCAGCGCCCTGCTTTGGTGCACAGGTCCCAGGCAGAGATGGGCATGTGAAACCACGCAGGGTTTATTTTGCCTGTAGAAAGTGAATGAATGGTTTTTACCAGGTTCATGCAGTCGCTATGTGTTTTGACCTGTCAGGAGTTGTTTCAGAACAAGTGTATCTTTTTTTTTCTTTCTTTTTTTTTTATCCCTGCTTAAACTGTGAATTCCATATCAGGTACTAACAAACATGGCTCATCTCAGAAGAATTCATAATTAACTAAGAGAATTCATAATTAACTTTCACTGCAATTTGTTTGGGTCTTCCTTTACATAAGATACAAGCTCTGGTGGGAATTTGAAATGCTCTGAAGCATACACTGTCTTTTGTGTAACTGCTGCTGAGCCTACAGAAAAGCTAACCTGCTGTAACTGCACAGTGTGTGTGTTTGTATATTAGAGTTCTCTGACAGACCTGTTTTTCTTTTTCTCTTTCTCTTCCTTGTCTTCTTTCTGCATTGGCAGAGCATCTTGGATTTGAATTAAAGGGTATGGAACAACCATTCATTTATTAATCAGAAGCCATTAAAAGCTGCCCACATTATATTTATGGCTTTAATGGGATGATTAAAAAATCAGCTGTTCTGTTCTCTTCCCTGGCACCAAGATAGATGTTTGGCTTGAAAAAAAACAACAAAACAACCAAAACCAAACACAAAATCTAAATGTAAACCTATAAAAATACATGTGTATCTTTAGCAGCACTCTTTTCTTTGTTTCAAGCAGCAGCCATACATTTCCTCATTCAACATGCTTTTGTGTATTTAACTGAAAAGCTGGAGTTTGTGACCATCCCAAAGGCTGCCAGAAGGCACCACTTGGGAACAGGCAGGCATTCCAGCAATAGGAAGCCAATTTTAGGGCTTTCATAGAAATTGCCACCCTGGATGCACTAACCTCCACTGGATTCTGTAAGGGTCAGAATGAGTTTTGCTGTTCCTCCTCCCAAAGGTTAGTGGCTTCTTCTGGTTCTTGATCAGGAGAAAATTGTTCCAAGTAAGATGGCATGAGATGAGTTAGTACAGAAAACAGTGATCCCAGAGAGGTCAGTAGTCTCCCATGAGAGTGGAGGGTGTCATTCTGAGTATTACAGTGGCAAGCTGAAGTTTGGAAAAACGTTGCAGTAACTTAAAGGCCTTTAAAAATATCCCCTTTGGACAATTACCTGCTCCTGCCCAATTGCTCATAATCATATTATTTTCCTTCCATTCTCCTCAGTCTGCTTTTAGAAATACATCAAGAACCTCTTGAGTAAGCACCTGGGAAATCAGATTATTGGGGGTAGGTTTCCCTTGAGTGTACAAGCCAACCACAGAGAGGCTGGTCAGATGAGAGCAGAGAGATTTATCTTTATCACTTAACTTAAAAACACTGAATTACTGAACATGTGAATCTTCACATGAAGACACTAAAATTCCATATACTAGAGCTATGAGGACACCAATCTGTCATTTCTGGATCGTACATTGTCATCGAAGAGCCCCAAGGTGGAGGGACATGCACTAGCTGAAGCTGGAGAAACTTGTCTCTTCTGGTTCTTGCATGCCTGATCCACCAGGATGGGGTATATCCACCAGGATGGGTTTCTATCCCCCAGCATCTCTTCCCTGCTGCAGAAAACATTCATTTTGTGGTCAGGTGTTTCAGAGAAAGTGGTGCTGCTAATGCTAATACACTGAAATTAACTTCAAAATTCAGGATTTTTGACATCCCTTTTTTGTTGACCTCTTGTCCTTTCCCTCATCCATTCTCAGTGTCATCACAGAACCACGCACATCCTGTTCCCAGCCTGCAGTTGTCTCTTCTCTGTCATTCGTCTGTCACTCTCATGTGTTGCTGTGACACCCATGGCTGGACTGTGATTCTGTTGGCATTAAGTGGCACCACATGGTTTGTTCATAGTGTTTACTGCTTAGAGTGACGATGCTGCTGCTGAAGGTGTGGTGTTTGTAGAGCATAGAGACACAAGTGAACAAGTTCTGCTCCAGGACCTTACCTTCTCAAACACAGAATTGTAGTGTGCATTCTCTTATTTTCTTTCTGTCTTTGTTGAGATGGTTTTGTGCAACATGAAGATACTGTGTTATGGAGTATCAGCTTTAATGAGATGTGAGGAACCAAGCTAAATTACTATAAGCAGGTCATTTAACTTGTAGCTTTGCAGCACAGCCTCACACATCACTGCTTCACATAGCAGAGCTGTCAGCTTAAGGCAGAGAGGCTAAATCTGCAGTTCTGATGAACTGAAACATTCCCCGTGCAATTGAGGTGAAGGTTTGGAACAGTCAGACATGCCAGAGCCAGATGACATGATCATCAGAACAGCGGCTGGGGTTTGAGCCTCGGGCAAAAGATTGTGTTATTTAGCTAATAGCTTTGCTTTTTGCTTTTCCTCCCTCCTCTGTCATTCAAAGGGAACGATTTATGCTTGGAACAAAAATCTTTGTAGCAAAAAACATAGCTGGTGAAGGACCTTTGGAAAAATTGGCTTGATGGATGAGTCCATGGTGAAAACTGCCCTGCTCAGGCTTTATTTTTTTGTAAAAGTAGTTTTAGCTCGGTAGTAGCAAAATTCTTGACTGGTGCCATCTGTAACCAAGACATGACCCTGGCTGGTCTTCCTGATTCAGATAAAATCTCTGAAACTCCTGGCTAAAGGAAAGAGCTGGAATCCAGGTCCCAGAGGTGTGCAAGAGTGAGAAAACTTGTCTGCCGTGGTTGCAGATGCCCAGAATAGGGCATCTGTGCAATGGGAACATGTTGCTGAAGGAAGTGTCTTGCCTCAGAGTGAGTTTTTTCCCCATGCCGGCTCCACATGATTCCTTGTAGTAATGCACAAGGAGTATAAGGTCAGCCAGCACCTAAATGCTCCTCTATGAGCAGGTTCCAGGCTGTAGAGGCTCTGGCTCTGAGGAGGTGCAGCTGACTGGTGAAGCTAACAGTGCAGTAACTTTCAGCTTGAATGAGACACATGACCTGTTGGTCCACAGCACCATGAGTCTGGGAGAGTCTCAGTTGCCTGTAGCTAATGGTGGGACATTGCCTTCCTGGAGACTCCACCAGCACCCTGAGCACCTCATGAAGCCAGAAGCCAATGAACAAACAAAACAGATGGAAGTGTGTTGCTTTATACTGTGATTTGCAGCACAGGCACAAAGAAAGCTCTGCTGATCATGTTTTACATCTCCACGCCAGGGCTGTTATTCTCAGCCCTTGTTCAGCAAATCATTCTTCATTCCTGTTTTGAGAGTTAGAAAGAGATAAACATTTTTCCTAGCACCCTTTTTTTCTTTTTTTTTCTTCCAAAAAAATGCTTTTTCCTTCCTAAAACAGCAAGCTGAAATTGGTCTGAATATCCAGTTATCTGGAATGTTTCACTGCTTGCCCTGTGCTTTTTTGTTAAAGTCCAGTCCCAGCAGTTTCTGACACCAGCCCTGTTTCTCTTCTGGTTTTGTATTTCATTGTTTGGGGCTATCATATAGTCCATTCAAAGTTATTTAGTGTGGCATGGTCAGCACAGCAACCATGGCATGAGTTTTATTGCCTAATCTATATGAAAAAATATTTCAGTGAATATTAAAGAAGGCACAAATCCCATTAACTTTAACATTAACACATATTATGGAGGCACCAGGATATCATTCATAGATGTCGAACTAAAATGCTTATGGCACTGAATCCTTCTCTCAGTCCTCCAGCTGCAGAACCAAATTGCTTCTGCTGATCTCAGTAGAGATTGCTGGATGTTGCATCTGTTCTGGTGTAGCCACAGAGGAAAAGGTGCCCTTGCCAAGCGATTGCTGTCTAGGTGTAGTTACACAGCAAGAGACATCCGAGCGTTCCCTTGGAGCCTTGATTAATGTGAACAATTACCTCACTTCAGCATGGTCTGTCTGGGTTTTGATGCAAGTGACTGACTTTCCTGGTTTGAAAGGCAGTCCGTGACAAATGGTGGTATTAGAGAGAAGCAGCAGTGTGCTGCTTGAATTCTGTATGTTCATCTCAATTATCTGGTGCAATGGAATTAATCACTGCCTAGGGTTTCATTAAAGATCCATAACTGTAACCAGTTACTGTATTTTAATTACTCCACTCCCTTTTCTTTGTCTTACATACTATCACTTTTCCATTCTCATTCTGCTTTTGGACTGTTTTAGGATGTCTTCTTCAGCACCTACATGTTTTGGAGCCTATTGCTTGGTGGTCTCTAGCACACTGCAGAGCTCCAGGGCATGCAGCCACTGCAAGGAAAAGGCATTCTAAGTCAGAGCAGAGAGCCTGTGATGAGAGAGAGCATCACAGAGCATGGGTGTATGTGGTGAGTGGGGGATGCTCAGGGACTTCTTTGTAGGCTACTGAGTTACTGAGAAGGGGGATTTGCAGGAACGGAGAGGAGAGTGGTGGGGCTGTTTGAGGTTAGTCACTGAGTTATGCCATGGGAAAAGAAAGCTAGCAGCATGTCTGAGCACAGAAAGGGTGAGCTGCTGGCTGAGGGAAGACAAAGGAGCAGAGAAGCAAAAGGAGTGAAGGTCTCCTGAGGGATGAGCAAGGTTGGGGCAGCTATTGGAGATGGGCAGTGGATTGGCAGGAGGTCTGACCGAGCCCTGTTCTCCATCTCACCCATACGCAGTGCTGGTTCCTGTGCAGCCGGGCGCATCCCTGGTGCTGGAGCCCATATATCATTGTGATTTCTTCTCTCCATTTGCAGAAGCAGAAGAGCTTTACCAGAAGAGAGTTTTAACCATCACGGGAATCTGTGTTGCCTTGCTTGTGGTGGGCATCGTCTGTGTGGTAGCTTATTGTAAAACCAAGTGAGTATGGGTCGTTAACAGACAACACTGGCCAGAGGTTACGGAGTGGCTGTGTTCATGCTTTGTGCTTTCATGCTCTTCACCCAAATGCTACTTTAAGGAGGCGCTGTGCTGTGGTGTTCCCAGGAAGGTCCCATGAAGGAGAACAGTGAAGCCACCTACCAGGCTGTGCCTGAGCATGATGTTGTCCTGGGACCATTTGTCCCCTGAATCAGCATCATTTCACCCAGCCAGGTGACACTCTGTTATTGGGAAAAGCTGGCCCTCAAGGCAGCAGCTCATCTCCTGACAGTAGAAGCACACTGAGCTGTTGTGCAGGAGCTGTGGGCTCAGCTATGTGCATTTCAGGGATATTCAGTGTTATCTTAATGGAACAAGATGCTTGGGGACCTCTTTTATGGCCAGCTTTCCCTGCCTGGACAGCATGTTTTTCCCTAGTTTGCCTGCACCTCACTTCAGTTCAGGGTGCTTCTGGGACATGGAGGGTCTTGCAGAGTGGATGCCCTGAAAAATAGGCTTTGCTACTTTGTGCTTAATACAGTACAGGTTGAGTGCCTGGCCACCAAGGCCAAGCCAGGACCATCTACTCCTTCTCCCTGCTTTTCTCCTCTGCTCCTAGCACCATAGTGCCCCTGGCTCCATTGCATTGTGCAGAGCCTTGTCTTGCAAGAGGGCACCTTGGACCCAGTTCCCAAGTTGCCCATGATAAGAAATAATCACCTTTTCCAGAAGCAGCAGCAGAAGGTGGCAAATGTTGAATGCTTTGTTTCTTCCTTTTTGCAGCTTTCACATACACCATTGAAACAAGTGTGTCTGATACTTGCCTTCTCTATCATCTGCATCCCCCAGGTGTCTCTAGGGGCAGAGAGCCCCTTAAGCCTTCCTTATAGATTTTTTTCCTTTCTGTTTTAAAGGAAACAAAGAAAACAAATGCATAATCATTTACGTCAGAACATGTGCCCTGCCCATCAGAACAGGAGCCTTGCGAACGGGCCAAGCCATCCTCGTTTGGATCCCGAGGAAATCCAAATGGCTGATGTAAGACCTTTTGTCTCCATCTCCCTGCTTGTTACTGAGTACCTGTTTTCTGCCAGCGATTTGACATGGATGTGTGTGCTTACACACCTGTGTGCAGGTGTGTGAGGAGCGAAACGCTAACAATTTTGAACATAAAGATGAGATTCTGCATAGAAACATTTCCAAAAATGACATCTGAAGTGAAAAGTGATTTTACTTTGAAGCACAGGATGAAAATAGGGCACTTGAAACAGACTTATTTTGATGAATCAAGTGTGATCCTGTTTTTTTTGAGAGAGAGGCTCCTGACGGTGCCTGTTTATTGAGCTATCGCGGCTGCACTCCCAGAGCGTGAGCAGCAGGTTGAGGTGGGGGATCCTGTCCCTCTGCTGCGCTCTGGGGAGACCCCCCTGCAGCCCTGATCCAGCTCTGGGGAACAGCACAACAGGGACGTGGAGCTGCTGGAGCGAGGCCAGAGGAGGCCACGGAGCTGCTGCGAGGGCTGGAGCAGCTCTGCTCTGGAGCCAGGCTGAGAGAGCTGGGCTGGGTCAGCTGGAGAAGAGAAGGCTCCTGAAGGGGACACCTTAGAGCAGCTCCGGTGCCTAAAGGGGCTGCAGGAGACCTGGAGAGGGGCTTTGGACAAGGGCCTGTAGGGACAGGGCGAGGGGAATGGCTTTAACCTGCCAGAGGGGAGATTGAGATGAGCTCTTGGGCAGAAGCTCTTCCCTGTGAGGGTGCTGAGGCGCTGGCACAGGGTGCCCAGAGAAGCTGTGGCTGCCCCATCCCTGTCCGTGTTCAAGGCCAGGTTGGACACAGGGGCTTGGAGCAACCTGCTCTAGTAGAAGGTGTCTCTGCCCATGGCAAGGGGTTGGAACTGGATGAGTTTTAAGATCCCTTCAATCCAAACCATGCTGTCATTCTGTGATTCTATGATCAAAATTAGTACAGTGACTCAGTTACAAGCTTTGCTGGGTCACCCTTTGGATGTTAAAATTTAGCTTGGTTGAATCCCAGCCATGAAGGAAAAGGGAATTCCTAGGAACCACATCCCTCTGCCCCCGAAGTACTGACTCCCCCGGAGATCTCAGTGTACCTGTGAAAAGCAGTGCTTGTTGTTAGATGAAGGAATATCTCAGCATAAATATTTGGCTGACATCTGGCATTTCTGTAGGACTCGTATGTCTCACTGATCTCACGTGGTTGTCTTTTTGTTGGTACTCTGTCAGGTGCATAACCTCTGTGAGCAGAGATGTATTTCTGCTCAATAGCTACACGTGGTACCACAGCCCTCTGGAGAGCCCCTTGGCTCTTCTTACCCTTCTGCAGTCCACATGACACTCTGTGCAAAGTGCAGGGGCAGAGAAGAGCCTCCAGCCTCCTTGACTCTTTCCATGGGGCGCAGAGCTATTGGCTTCACTCAGTCCCCATCTGATTTCACCAGAAATAATTAAGCCAGTCAAATTTGTCTGTGGCAGTATTGCCGAGCTGATCTGTGTGATTCTTCATCTTTTACAGTATATCTCCAAGAATGTTTCTGCCACTGAGCATGTGATCCGAAGGGAAACAGAGACAACCTTTTCAGGAAGTCACTCCTGCTCCCCATCTCATCACTGCTCCACAGCCACTCCAACGTCCAGCCAGAGGTGATGTATACCATTTTCCCCTGAACTTTCTCCTCCTGTTTGCCTTAGGGTGCTATGAGATTCATAGCCAGCAAAAGGTTTTTCTTTGACCTCCGTTTCTTATTTTCAGTTGCTTTTTGGTGCTACGCTGGCATACAGGCCATGGTGACACTGCCGGTCTTTGCTGGCACAGCTAGTTAGTGAGAGGTGTGGAAAGGTGTGATGAGGTGTGGAAAGGTGTGATCCTTGACCTGCAGTGACGTGCCATCAGGAACCTGCAGCACTGACATAGCTGTGAAGCAGGAGGAAATGAAGTTGTGCTTTCACACTTTGCACAGACATAAATGGGAAGCTGCATCTGGGAAAGGTTTTGCAAGTTGGATTTGCAACCTCAATGTATACCTGCAATAATTCATTAAGCTCACACAGGTTGTTTCATGCTTGATATATTTAGAATGTATTTGCCTTGTGGAAGGCAAAGTACACAAACTATCACAAAATGTTTTGAGCAGTTCCTCCAAGTTAGGATCTGAGTTGGGAGCCACAGTTATTCACCAGAAAAAAACCCTACTCCTGTGCAATTTATCACAGTCCAGAAAGTTGCATTAGAATTGCATCCTAGAGATTGCCCTAGAGAAAGTCCTGTGCTGGTTTGAGTTTGGATGTTCAGGTTCTTCTTCTTACATAACTCCTGTCCGGTAAGTGACAATGTTTCCGTAAGAGAGCACTTGCCTTTGACAAGTAACTGGAGGTGCAGTGGTGTCAACGATGTATAGAACACATTGCATTGACTTTTTATAAAGCAAAACGTGTCCTGGCTTGTTTACTTCTTTAGCTCAATGTGTTTGTCTCTGTTTTCCAGGAAGCAATGAATCCTTTCAGCTGAAGCTCAAAGATAGCTCCCAGCAGGTTTCTTCAGGGTTCAGGCATTCATCAGGGATGAGCAAGTACTCTCAGGGTACAACGTGTCAGATCAATTTCAGATATTGAACTTAGGTTTTCAGGTGAATCCTCCCCAGAATGCTCTGGCTAGACCTCCAGCAAGTAGAGAGAGAGCCAAGAATGACTTAGCGGGCTGGAAACATCTGCCTTTGTCCAGAGAAATCTTATTCCTGGTGTGTTTTCCGGGATTTTTCAATTTGTGTGCTGCAGCCCAACCCTGGCTAGGTGTGTGTGAGCTTGAGCCAGTTGCACAGAGGCTCCTGTGCCTGCAGAGCTGCACCTTGCTGGCTTCCTGTGCTCACTTCAAAGCCCTGGGACCCCGGGCCACCTCTGGGAACCTCCTGAAGATGCGAAGATTGTATCTGGGGGGCAGCATTAACCCACCACAACTGTGGGGAGGCACCTACCTCGAATAGCCTCTGGTCCTGGCTACCTGCCACTTAATCTTCCTGAGTCAAGTGCAGCAAGCAGGTGTTTCTTGAAGTCATGCCAGAGGCAAAATACTGGCATAATCAGGCTCCATTTTACTCTATGCGCGCCTCTAATGAGGATGCCGTTTGAAGTTATAAATGATGTGGTGGTTGCAGCCAAGCATGTGCCTGGAGCCATCAATAATTAACAAGTTCTTGGGAAGTCTTAATGAGAGCTGCTGTCCCCTGCAACCCCCACCCCAGATCCTCTGCCGGCACAGCTCCATCTGCTGCAGTTTGGGAGTTCAGAGCTTTTGCTGTAACAGGCAACATATTTCTGCTATGGAGCAGGGTCAGCCTCTGGCCATAGTGCAGGCGGACCGGTGTGCATATGGCCCCTTGTATCCCCAGAGAGCCCTTGTGGGATGTCTTCTTTTTATCAAGACTAAGGCAGGAAGAGCTTCAAGTGCTCAGCAAGGTCTACCCAATGTATCACAGCTTTTGTCTAGCACCTTGCTGCCAAATCTTTTATAAACCAGTTTTGCTGCCAAAATCTTTTATAAACCAGTAGAAACTGAACATCCAGACCTACCTTTGGTATGATTTTCTCTGCTGATAGAGAAGCAATTTTGAGCGGGGTTTTTGTTTTTTTTTTTCTGGCTCCTTTCTGGTAGCATTTCTGAAGGGGCTGTCACTTGGCAATGCAGATGGCATGTCTGAAGATCCTTTGCAGACTTGCCTTGGCACGGCCAGTGCATTGCTCCACACCCAGAACACTTCGCAAGCACAGAGCAAAATTGCCGTGGTCTCCATCCAGAGGCTGCCCCATCTTATCACCAGCTGTCAGGAGGTGGTGTGATAAATACCTAGAATGCACTGGTTTACCTTTACCCTCTAATCGTATCTCCAAGAAGTAGCAAAGGCAACTCAAAGACAGGGTTGGGAAGCTGGGCAGCCCTGTCCAAATGTATCCTAGTGAGAGAGATAAAGGGAATGCCAGTGCAGAGCAGAGTGTGAGCTGTACCTGCATGCAGCTTTTTGGAGAAGACCTCGGTGGGGATCCTTGCTCACTGTCCATTTTGGGTTTGGTCCACAGACATGAAAGCCACACCTGGAGCTTGGAGCGGACAGAGAGTCTGACTTCAGATTCCCAGTCTGGGATAATGCTGTCCTCAGTGGGAACCAGTAAATGCAACAGCCCTGCGTGTGTGGAGGCACGGGCTCGCCGCGGGGCCACCTTCTGCATCGAGGACTCACGGAGGCCCATGACACAGTATCGTGACTCGGTGGATTCTCTGCGGGACTCACCACACAGCGAGAGGTCAGACCCCACTGCTTGGTGCTGCTCTGGCATGCCAGAGGAAAGCCGTGCCTCTGTGCCACACGCAAAAATGGCTGCCCAGCAGTGGCAGCACTGGAGAAACTCCGGCTCTGGTCCTACCAGATGAAGCCACTACCCCAGGAGGCCACTGCGTTAGGGGAGCAGCAAGCGCTGCACCCTGCCCACATGGTGACAAAGTAGGTTTGGAGCACAGGGGTGGCAGGAGCAGAAAATACCTGGCTGCAGTCAGCAAGTGGTGAAGAAAACCTGGCTGAGAGCAGCTTGTTGGGCTGCCAGCTCAAGCAGGGTCTGGCCCTCAGCTATATGGGGCAGAGATTCACATCCTCAGTGTAGTTCTGGATGGCCTGATGAGCAGGGGTACCAAATGAGGGCACAGCCTTGGGACAGGGCTCTGTATGACCCAGCCTTCTGGTGATTGCAACTGCAGAGCTGAGACACCATCAGCCAGTGAGAGGCAGCAACCATCATCCTCTTCCAGGTTCTGGTTCCTTATGGTGCAGAAGTGCAACTCCACCCTTGCTCCAGCCCCTTGTGGGTAGCCATGGGCAGCCCTGGGTGGCCACATGGACACTTCCAGGCAGTGGGACTTGTCCATGGGGCAGACGAGAAAGGCAGCACCTCATTCTCTGTCATTCCTCTCCCTAGTCCATTCAGCTGGGCTGAACCAGCTTATACAGATGTCTTGTACTTCACAGGACACATGGGAAAAAGGCACGGGATGAGCCAGGGAACCTGGGCAGCCTGAAATCAGCAGAGACACCCACTGGCACTATAGAGAGGAAATGAAATGTGCTGCTTAGAAAGAGGTGATGCTGAAGGAAGGGCTGTTTGGAGAGGGGCTGGACCAGACCTGGGTTGCCACATTGATGTTATCACTAGAGTAGATGAAAGCAGTAGATGTCTTTTAGAGACATAGAGCTTTTGCTAAGCCAGAGGAAACAATGCCCAGGCTTTCCCCATCTGTGGCCTGAACAGGGGGAGGGAATTTTCGGGCTCTTCCTCAGATGCAAGCCTCCAGCTCCAGGGGGAACAGAAAGCAGGCAGGTGATGAGAAGCAGGGAAGCCTGCTGGGAGATGGTACAAGGTTTTCAGTGATGCAGGGTGGGAATTGCACACCAAATCAGGAGAGGCAGTCCTGGGTTGCACAGTTCATGGTGCCCAAGCACCCACTGAAGCCAGCAGCTCATCCTCCCTCAGCACAGCAGTGCAAAGTGTCTCTGTCTGGTTCTGCAGGAGATGCTGAGCTCCAGGGCCATGTGCACTGGAGCCCACATGGGTGTTCAGCAGAGCACGGGCTCAGCTGGAGGCTTTGGGGGTCGTTTGGTGTCTAAACGGTTGTGTTACTTCTCTCAGGTACGTGTCAGCGCTGACCACACCAGCACGCCTGTCACCTGTCGACTTCCACTACTCAATGGCCGCACAGGTGCCCACCTTCGAGATCACGTCCCCCAACTCGGCACACGCTGTGTCCCTGCCGCCGGCGGCCCCCATCAGCTTCCGCGTGGAGGAGCAGCAGCCCTTGCTGCGGCGGTACCAGCTCCCCTTCCAGGACACGCAGCGGTACGACAGCTACTACCAAAGGAAGACCTACCTAAACGACAGCATGGGGAGCCTGCCCTCCAGCCCCTTCCGCATCACGGAGGACGACGAGTACGAGACGACGCAGGAGTATGTCACAGCGCTAGAGCAGAGCCAGCAGCAACAGGCGGTGGAAAAAATCCAAACTGAACGGGCACATCCCTCACAGAGCCAGAGCTGTCCGGGACTCCTTTTCCTTGAGCAGCGCCTCTTACAGTGAGTCTGACGAGGAGCTGGTGGCCGAGAGCACGCCGTTCCTAAGCACTCAGAACAATGAGGTGGTGCACACAGGGTCGCCGCCGCTGCACCGGCCGGGAGACAGCCGGACTCACTACTCCTGCAGCAGGCACAGCGCGCCCGGGGAGAGCGGGCGCAGCAGCCTGGCGCACACGACGCCCAAACCTGACCCGGATCCTCTCTAGGCACCTCCCAGACTTGCGCGCCCGCAGATGTGAGCTGTACGGAGGAGGCCGAGGAGGGGAGATGAGACAAAACAAAGATAAATATTTTTATTTTATATAAAAGAAGGGGGAAAAATTATAACAAATAAAATGTTTTATTTTCATTTTAGCAAAGTTGTCTTATAATAGCTAACGACAATGACTTTTTTATAAGGAATCTCTATTTATATGTAATGTCTTGATTTACAGCTTCCGAGAAAAAAAAAAAAGTTAAAAAAAAAAAAAAGAAAACAATAAAGTTAAAAAAAAAGTGGGCCAATTTTTGACTACTTAAAAATAGAAAAACAAAACTATCGTGGTGCCTTTTGCTGTATGCTAGTGCTGGGATTTATGCCTAGGATTCTGTTTCAGTAGCATTTTTTAAGATCATAGATTTTTGTTTGGGAGACAACCTGTCACAAGGGTGCTCTTCCCTTGGAAGAAAACAGCCTTGCCACTTTGCCCCATACCCTGCTATTAATGATCTTATTCTTTAAGGTATTTTTTAAACACACATCAAGGATGTGAGTGGGAGCATTGCCATTGTCATGTCTAATGGGGATCTGTCTTGCCCTGGAAAATACTTATATTTTCACTTAAATCAGGAGATAAAGAGAGCCAACAGCACCATACTGCAGTGGAGAAGTGATGCTTCTTTTGCCACACAGGTAGGAAAAGAAAACACAGTCATGCAGCAGCAGCAGCCCTTACAGGATATCTCTCAACCTTTGACCATTTCACCTGTATGTCTCAAGTTGGGTTGGCACAGGTTTGTAGTCAGACAAGGCAGATGCCCATGTGAACATGGTGAGATAATGCCCCATCATGTAAGGCTGAGCCCAGTTCACTGCCCTGGCAGGCAGACGGCACGGTGTGGTGGTCCCAACAGAGCTGTGGTGCTGTACCGGTGCCGTGCCGACCGCAGCATCCCCTTCATGGAGCGGAGTAGCTGCAGCGCGGTGTTGCCATAGGGCTGCCGGGGCTGTGGTGTCCCACACGCCATGGCTCAGGTGGTTCTGGGAGGATACGTGGAAGTGGCCCCACGGTGCAGCACAGCCAAGGCTCGCCCTGGTTGCCATGCCAGCTTGCTGCCAGCCGTGCTGCCCGGGGTTTGGCTGGAGCCCTGTGCTGGCTAGATGGGCCACACATGGGGCAGCCCAGCAAGTGGATTCCTCTGTGCCGTGTGCTGTAAAGACAGTTGTTACCGTCACATCTTGCCACCGGTGATGGACGTCGTGTTTCCAAGCTTGAAGCAGCTCTGGCCACCGGCTCTGTGGCGCAAAGAGACAGTCCTGCGTGTCCAGGCAGCAGAGCATCCCTGTGGAAGTGCCCCTCTCTCCTCAGTTCTCTGCAGCAAACCTGTTTACATTGTAGCCTGACTTTTTTCTTTTTATATTTTTACTTCTGCATGTCCTTTGCATTTCAGATGCTGTAGATTGGATGCATGGTGAAGCTGTGACTGAGAAGATAATACAACAACTGACAGTGTATTATTTCATTTAACTTTTAGCAATAAAGTAACTAAACCCTCTATTCCTCACCCATGATGAGGTCAGATAGAAAACTCTGCTAATTTGTCATAAGATGATAGTCAAAGTTTGCTCTGGATTGTCTGAATGTCAGAACTCTCGACTGTTTAACACTTGAACATTTTTTATACTATAAATAAAATAAGAAATAACAAGCTGTGGGCTGCATTGATGTCAGGCAATTTGGGGAGCAAATGGGTAGCTGGTATCATACACATGCTCTTGAGGTTGGAAGGGACTTCTGGAGATCAATCTGCTCTAATTCCCCTTCTCAACCAGCTCACCCAGGACTGTGTCTACTCAGGTTTTGAGAATCTTCAGGGATGGTGACACCACAACTTCTTTGGGAAACCTCTGCCAGTGCTTGGTAACCCTCAAAGCAAAAAAGTGTCCTCTTGTGTTCAGAGTGAATTTCCTGTTTTTTTAATTTGTGTGCCCATTTCCTCTGGTCCTGCCACTGGACACTAATGAGAAGAGCCCAGCTCCTTCTTCATTGCCTCCCATTAGGTATTTATACACATAGATAGGCCCCCCTGAGCCTCCTGTTCTCCAGGCTGAACTCTCTCAGTCTCTCAGAGTCCCAGCTCTCTCAGTCTCTCCTCACACGAACATCTTTTAGCCTGCAGAGATCCAGAGGTTGGTATTTTTCTAACTGGTGTGGACATTTGACCTGTGTCTGCTCTGGAGCCAGGCTGAGAGAGCTGGGCTGGTTGAGCCTGGAGAAGAGAAGGCTCCGGGGAGACCTTATTATGGCCTTTCAGTACTTTAAGGGGGCTTATAAGAAAGCAGGAACAGACTTTTTAGTAGTGCCTGTTGCAATAAGACTGGGGGTAATAGTCTTAAACTAGATTCAGACTAGATGTGTGTGGAAGAAATGGTTTTTTTACGATAAGGGTGTAGAAACATTGGCACAGGTTGCCTAAGAGAAGTGGGAGATGCCCTGTTCCTGGCAGTGTGCAAGGCCAGAGAGGACGGGGCTCTGAGCAGCCTGATCTAGCTGAAGATGTCCCCACGGGGGAGTTGGACTAGATGAGCTTTAAAGGTCCCTTCCAACCCACACCATTCTATAAGTCTACCTAGGGCTGGCACAGCAGCATCTGCATTACAAGAAGGCTGCAGCTCCTGGGCCTCCTGCTGGGGTGCAGAGCTGTGGGGTGTGCTCAGCACTCAGTGCAGCTGATCCACAGCAGGCATCACCATCACAATCTGCTCTCCAGGCCCCTTGGAAACAGCTGTGGGTTTGCCCAGCGCTGCTCCATGCAGAGGGATGTTTTACTGCTCCATGGTTCACAGGGATCTCTGATGCTTTGCAACTGCTGAGACACCACTAGCTTTAAGCCATGGCAGCCTCATGATTTCTTGTAGTGATTTCTTGATCAACATGCCCCTTGATTCCCATAATTATGTTCTATATTTGGAGGGACTTACACTACTTCAATTTTCTCTCCAATTGCCTCTGAAGGAAGCCTGTATCTCTCTCCTTTTTCCCTGACTGGTTTATTTTTAGACCCCTCGTTTCCATCCATGTGTATTCCTAGGTTTTGGCTGTAAACATTTTACAGCAATTTTCACAGGTGGAGGCAGCCTCCTGCCAACTCTATTCCACATGTATGATGCCTTTGCCACCCTTCCCAGAGGGGAAGGAATTGCTCTGCTGACACAGATGGGGTGATGCAAGCAGGAGAGGAGCATCAGATCCCGGCTTTGGGATTCAAAAGCCTCCAAAATGTACCTGTAAAGTGAATTTGGTGTCAGGTTGTGCTCAGGAGAAGGGGCCTGGAAGGAAGATCAGGCTGCACCAGCACTGCCAGGGGACAGCACTGCTGTCCAAGCCCCAGAGCTGCCTGCTGGAGGGGCTGGCACAGGCTGGGGCATTTGGGTACTTCAGTGAGCAGAGAAACGTGGCTGCTTATTTCCTCTGAGATGCTGCTCTTCTCTCTTGTGCGTGGCTGAGCCTCTTGTGCGTGGCTGAGTCCTTCACCTCCAGGGAGGGAAAGAAGGAGAAAAAAAGCATCTTCTTCCTGTCACAATTTGAGGCAGCAGGTTGGTCAAACAAGGCAATTTGGCTGCTCAGCACATATCCACATGCATATGCACCCCAATCAGTACTTACATATCAGGGTGAACTGCTGGTTGTCAATCAGTGCAAGTTTAACTCCCCTAGCTGTCTTGCCAAGGGCTGTTTAACACCATCTGCCACCCCTTTCCACATCCATTGTGTGGTGAGTCTCATGGCTCTGAGACCCTTTCCTGGTGCCCAGAGGAAAGTTCACAAGATCCTGCTTTTCCCTGCAGTTTACTCCCAGCTGAGAATGGCAGCCTGGCACCTTCAACATGAAGAACTGAGATGCTCTTTGTGGTATCTTCAAACACACTGGAGATGTCGCTGCCTGCTGGAGGGGACAGCCAGAAAGGACAGGCTGAGGTACAACATATTACCTGGGATTTTGGTGAGGATTTGGCTTTCCCCCAGGCTTTCGCAGTGTGAGTCTGGGCACCAGATGCTTCATGGGTGTAGGAGCATCTTGGAGGTCTTCAGTGCAAGGGATGTCTGCACAGTACCTGACACAGCAAAGCACATGATGCCTCAGAGAAACAGCCATGACACTCAGTGTAGCCCTGGGCTCCTCTGGGAACAGCTCCCAGGACATCCCCACCACCAACGTAGATGTTGGTATCTTTCTCCTCCCATAAACCTCTAGGTTGCGTGTGGACAGACAGATGTGGGATGCACCAGGCAGAGGGAAATGTTACCTGAACATGTTCCCAAAGCAGCCCATCTGGCCATGCTTGCTCCATGGGTGAGCCATCCATCCAGAGCACAGGCAGGCCAGTGCTTTCAGCACCCAGGAGGATGGGTGGGCTGGTACCCACTCATGGAAAGGCATTGTGATTTTCCAGCACTGTTTGTCCATAGGAATCTGATTTCCATGTGGCACTGGCAGAGATCTGTGTCAGCTCAGCCATTCAGTGCTGGGCCCAATCCAGTGGGCCCAATCCAGTGCATGGTGGAACTGTACTTCAGACCAGTTCTCTTTACCAACAGATTCAGCTTTATTGTTATTCTTTTTTACATGATTCTTAGTGCATCATTTCAAATAAACTATCAAACTGTACAAAGAAACAGAGATAAAAGAAGAGGTGACAAAGGTGGGCAGAGGTTTTTAGTGTCATGAACCATCATGGAAAACAGTAGTCCATAGGCTCTCAAACGCTGAAGGTCCAAATAAATCTTATCTGCTTTTTTAAAAAAAAGCTGCAAAATATAAATCATGAATGACTGTAATTAGCAGCTACAAGATCCTTCAAAACTGGAACTTGATTACTGTGAATGCACCTAAGGGAAAGAAAAGCAATCTGAGATAAAGGACCAAAGCAAACAGTGAAATAAATAAATAAAGTGTGGGAGGACAGTCGTGGCATGGAAATGCAG